GGGGGGAGAAAGATGTAAAAAAAAAAAAAAAAAAAAAAAAAAAAAAAAAAAAAGTTTCTAAAATAATTTAATTCATTTAAATGAATAAGTTCTGAAAGTTTCATTAAAATCCAACAATTGTTTTTTGCAAAAATTTCGGAGTAAATGTTTTTTTCACTGAAAAGAAAAAAAAAAAAAAAAAATTTAACCAAAATTTTGAGTGCTCTAAAAAGCATAAAAAATATTTAACAATTGGAAAATCCTTTAATAAGATAAAGATTTCAATAAAACTTGTTTTTATTAAATTTGAGGCACTTTTTCATGTATGGTCATTTTTTAGCGAATCTGTGGAGGTACCGATAACTTTATGATGTCATTAACAAATAATGCAGTTATTGAATCCTTCAGTCTTGTAGTCACACAAATATATATTTCACAAGCACAACCTTATATAAACTGTATTACCTTAAATAAATTTTCAAATAAAGATAATGCGAAAAATAAAAATATGAGAGGCATTGAAAAAAGAAACCATATTCATATCAAAATATGGTGGGGGTGACATTTCTTGAATCAGTTCGCACACACATTTCCTGATTTTTCCCCCTATTTAAATAACAATTTTGGGAAGTGTGTCAGGTTGACAACTTTTCAGAACTCTTTTGTACAAAAGAGCTGTTTGGTCTAGAAAAAAAAGCCAAAAAACCAACAAAGCTGCCTTATAGACAAACAGGAAGTCCCCTCTTCCATGAGAGAAGCAATTTTGTACATTTTAGCTGACTTGCAGAGCAACAGCTAGATATTTTCATTTTTTTTTTTTTTTTAAATAGTGTAAATCTATCTTTGACAGTTTCATTCTACAGTAGTTGAAAACAAAAAGGAAAAAGGGAGGTGCTGTCAAATTTGTAAGATAGTTTATACAGTGATATGTGCACTGAATGGTTGGTTGTTTTTTTTATTTTTTTTTTATTACCTTTTATTCCAATTGCCTGCTTACACAGCTTTGCTATAGCAGTTGAGAGATTACCAAAGTTGATTAGAAGAATAAAAAACAGCATTGATGCTGACAATTCTCAGCATATTTTGGAGATAAGCCATTTATTGTAATTCAGGTTGTGCATGTAGAGCTTTCAATGGCATAAGGGTTACTCCTATGGAAAAAGCTATCAGTAAATCAAGTTGAAATTTTGACCAAATCTTCATTTTGTACTAATAAACTTAGGAAAGACAAATTCAGTTCCCCCTCCACTTTAATCCCATTGCCAGATAAATTGTTAAAAACATCTTTTCAAAAGCATAACACAAAGGCTAATCACAAAGAGAGCTAGTGAATGAATGAATACTTTGACTTCCTTTTAACTGCTTTATCTGCCTAGGTAATAGAAAAAACATTGTTACCCTCATAGTCAACCTCGATAGGCAAGAATAGATAATTTCTGGATCAGCCTTGATCAAGTATTGTGTAGTTCATTTTTTTTTTTTAACATCAGAAGCAAATATTTCTTAAAAAATTGACAATTTAAAATTAATAAATTGGAATTTTAAAAACTTCTGTAATTGGTAAGTGGTGCCAAAAATACAATAAAAACAATAGACATCTGCAACAGATTAATGGTTAATTCAGAGAGTGATCTTCACTATAGGATAAATTGCTATGGCCTTGTGCCAGAATAAGCTAAGCAAATATCTATATAGATCGCATAATATTTAGTAAATTTACCTTACAGAGTAAGATAGCTCAATTTTTTTTTTTTACTATTGTGGCCTTGTACTAGTCTCAGCTAATGGTAATAATGAAATTAGTCGTCTCTGTACAGGAAACAATCATTCATTGACTGGTTAATTAGTGTTTCTGTTGGTTGAAATTTCTGAAACCTTTTCCCTAAAACAGTTTTTCAGAAAATTATATTTATCAAGTTCATTGCCTTAACTGGGTATTGAACTCATTGTTATTGCTCTTTCTGGCACTAATGGCAGTTTCCTTCAAAACCATTTGTTTTTGGTAGTGTGGAAAGTTAAAATATTTAAGAATCCACATAAAAAAAAAAAAAAAAAAAAAAAAAAAAAAAAAAGTTTCCCATGTTAACTATGGAATATTGCATTTGATTTACATGACAAAATTTCTTTTAGATTGTCTTTTAGAAATACAAATAAGTGTTAAGCGAGATATCTCATATTGTTCTTGTATAATTAATCTGTCCTTAAGCAACATGCCTAGACAGATTTCAACCAGAATTAGGAATAAAAATCTGTGTGTATATATATATATATATATATTATTACTTCAAACATTATTTTTAGTGGGTACACACATTTGTGTTGACACTTTTTTTTTTTTTTATTTTCTTAAGAGAAATTAAGATCAACTGGCCTAAATCAATAAGCCCTACAAAAGAAAAACATCTGACAAGAAAAGTAGTTAATTGAACCTGGTTTTATTATGATGGTCTACCATGGCTTTGGTTATAACGGTTGTTGCCCTGATGGAAAAAAGGAATAGAGGTTTAATTCTTGTTGGGAGGCACATTTTTCTTCAGTAGGACTTCTCAGTCTAGGCTGGTTGATAAAAAAAAAAAAAAAAAACAAGATGTCAAGTCATGTGAACCTGGTGGCCATTTCAACAGCACATTGTCATTAGCATTGGCACGCCCGATCCAGCTTCCTGGTAGATTCTCATTGAGATAAGTCTGCACAATTAACTTAGTTTTTAGACATTTTGTTAAAATTTGAGATCATTTGAGCAAGAATTGACTATTAGACTACAAAACAATGTCAATTTTTTGGACACACTGTATAATGAAAATTCATGGCTAAGGACATATTTATCAAACGGTAATAGAGAATTTGCTCCTAATCATTTGCCAATAGACACATATGGTTATAAAGAATTTTATAAATGGTAGTAAGCTTCACTAAGCAAGATGTAGTCTTGATTTCAATGCTATGAACATGTCCAAGAACATTAGACAAAGAGAGCAAAAATACGAGATTTGTTCAAGTATTGAAAATTACATCCAAGAGGAAGAAAAAAAAAAAAAAAAAAAAAAAAAGAAATTAATATTAAATTTATCGGAAATAATTATTTGGAAACAGTGATCATTAAGTCAACAGGCCAACAGCAAAGATTATAAATCAAATTATGGAAATTGCAAGAAAATTTCAATCTTTGATTTTAATGGAATACTGTATAGAAAAAAAAAAAAAAAATTGAATACTAGTGAGAACCTCTTATTACTAGAGAGTTCATGCATGTTGTGGAATTCAACAAGTAATCTTTTCTCTCTCATAAGACAAAAATCATTTTTATAAATATGTTGTTAACTTGGGGGTGGGGGAGGGGGAGTTCTTCAGTTTTTCTGTTTCAGATGTCAACAATGAAAAGGTATTTAGATTACACTATTTACATTACTCAGACTATTGTCCTCATCTTTGTCACCATATTTATTACGTTTTGGCTGTTTATGCTCCGGCCTTCTTCAAGTGGTTAGAATGATGACCTGAACACCGTTTCGCTCACTGGGGTTGACTGTTCTAGTTCCATGTTTAATGGATGCAAGTTATCAGTTATCTCCTGTTAATTCCCCTCTGCAGGTCCTCCACTGCCTTAACCGGGTATTGAACTCACACTCTTTGGGTCCTGTCACTGGATCTCACTAACGCCTTTATTTTTTTCCTCAAGGACACATGGCATAGTGGATAAAGATCCAGTGACAGGACCCAAAGAGTGCGAGTTCAATACCCGATTAAGGCAGTGGAGAACTTGGAGAGGGGAATTAACGGGAAATCTATCTATAAAAGGCAAGATGTGTGTGTGTGTGTGTGTGTGTGTGTGTGTGTGTGTGTGTGTGTGTGTGTGTAATGAATGCACGGCCGCAATTTGATGGATTTGCACTAAAATTTACATGCACAAAGTTAGCGGGAAGGCCAAGACTGACTTTGCATTTCCCAACTCCCACCAATAGTGGAAATAATCAATTTTTTCATGCTCCTATGGCAGTTTTCAGTCATTTTCTACTGGCCAGTGTGAGACCCAACAGCTGACTGACACAAATGTTAACTAGCATGCAAAAAAAAAAAAAAAAAAAAAAAAAATTGATAGCTGTATTCATCACAAGTGGGAAAAATTTAGATCTGCATGGCACTACTCCAATTGGCTCATTCGCTTGCTTAAACTCAACGTCGATTCTGATTCTGCAGAACTGGGTTGGGTGTGAAAAAGTATTTGTTGTTAACATTCTTTTTTCATTCGGTTTTTCAAGTTACAAGTCCTTTTTTAAAGCTGATCGTTTTGTGTTCATTTTGTTTAGTTCTTTTTTCGTAACAGATTTAATGTTTAGTATAGAGCTTAGAAAAAATTCGCAGTGTGAGATAGGCAAGAAGTAAGGCATGTAGCAACATCAGCACGGCAAAGGGCATGCTTTTAAAGGCAAGGAAGGGCAAAAATATTTTATGCCAAGTGATAGCGATTGCTGTACGAGTCATATGATTTTTGAATCAAGCACGGGCAATGCCGAGCCTTGCTGCTAGTAACTGATAACTGACATCCATTAAACATGGCATGTAGAACTAGAACAGTCTACCCCAGTGAGCGAAATAAAGGGTTCAGTTCAACATTCCAACCACCTGAAGAAGGCCGGAGCATACAACGGCCAAAACAGCGAAATAAATATGGCGACAAAGAGGAGTACAATAAACCAAGTAATGTAAATAGTGTACATAATACCTCATCTCAGAAATATAGACATATTTAGATTAGTTGTTTTTGTTTAATGGCACATCAACATCTATAGGTTATTTAATGCCAAAATCTAAATATGTTGTAATTTAATTTTTCTTTTTGAGATATTAATGATTTTAGTAATAGAAGTTTTACTAATTAACCCATAGCTTGGGGAAAAGAGGCAGATTCATAGCTCCCCGCCCCAAGAGTATTTGCATGTAAGAACCCAACTGAAATTGGAACTAAGCTCTCTGGTTAACAATTACAAGCCATTATCCATTACACAACCTATACATCTAAGCTTACAGCAACTGGTATTCCCAAGAGGTCACCCATCTAGGTACTGACCAGGCTTGATGTTGCTTAACTTCGCTGACTGTACGGGAACCAGTGTTTCAATATAATGTAGCCATAAACAAAAATATATTTAGACCAGCATTTCTTAACCAGTGCACCCTGGTGCAATAATGTGCCCTGAAAGGTAGCCATGTGCGCCCCAAGTTGACACAAGAGTAATTTATGAATTAAAAATAAATCTTTATTTTTAAAAAGCTCAAGACACCAAGCAATGTAATTCTTAATAAATGCTTATTTCAGGAGACATCTTTATTATTTTCCTATTTTCAAATTTCAGGACTCCCCCCCCCCCTGTAAAATTTAAAGTGCACCCCAGAGTTTTTGTTATTTGACAAGTGCACCCTGAAGTGAAAAAGGTTGAGAAACACAGAGTTAGACACAATTCATGATAAAAAAAAAAAAAAAAACTTAATGTATACTATTCTAACAAAACATTTTTTGTCGTATAAAAAAAAATAAAAAAAAAAAAAAAAAAAGTCCATTTATACTATTGTTAGACTTTTTTTTTTTTTTTTTTTTTTTTTAATTTGAATGGTGGAGGAGACTGCAATAAAGAGCCAATCAATGGAAGGATACGTTTAATTGTAGGCAATGATAAGCGAAACTTTTTTTTGTAAATGAAATTGCATTTTAATAAGTGAAGGACAATGCAAAATTCCAGAGATAAAATTGTCATCTCTTAATAGTTTCTAATTGATATTTACAGACTGAAAATAACTACCAAGAAGAATTAATATTAAGAGTAAAAACAATAGTATAGAATCAAGGTTATCTGATACTTTCCAGGAAAAAAAGAGAATAACTTTTGTAGATTAACATTCATTAGACCTTCATTTATCAGAATAAGAAAATGATTTTCTTTTTTGTTTTTATATCAGTAGTTAGAGGGGCATAATATAAATACAGTATCAAATTGATCCCTGAATTTTTAAAGAGTTATTTGTACCTTATTTTTATTTACAAATGACAAATTTGAAACTGTGCTTACATCATTGATATCTGTGTACAACTGATGTTATTTTTAAAAAATAATTTTTAAACCTTTTATGTGGAGTGGGGGAAACAAACATTGTGAAATAATAATTATCTTAAATGAAAATCAAATGGATACATAGTTACTAATGTATTGCTCGTTAAATATTTTCCTAAAATAAAACATAAGAATGTACATATCCAATTGTTATTTAAAAGAAATTGTTTTGATTCTAACAAATGTCTTGATTTGAAGAAGGTCTAAGGAATGCTAATCTATAAAACTTATCCCCCCCCCCAAAAAAACACCAAATTGCCCCTATATCTTTTAGGAGTAGACAAGTCAATTTAAGTAGGTCTCAATACCTTTTCAGTAATCCCTCATAAACAAGACATACCTTCCTCTTTACATCCTCAGGTAAAATGAGAATAAAGGGAATATAATTCTACTTTTGAAATTAAAATAATTGTTCATCACCAGTACTTTTTATCATCACCTTTGGGTGATGATAAAGTATGATAAAGTGACACATTTGTAGTGTTGAAAGAATTGTAATTTTGTAGCACTTTTTTAACGTTTTTTATATATATATATATATATATATATATATATATATATATATATATATATATATATATATGTGTGTGTGTGTGTGTGTATATATATATATATATATATATATATATACACACACACACACAAACACAAAAGTTTATCTTCAAGCATAACAATGATATTAAAGCTTAAGAATATAGACAGTTATTTGGTCAAATAAGTGTTAAACTTATCCAGGGATGATGTGGATTTATTCAAGGCAAAGTTATTGAATAGATTTTACAGAGTTAAAAGAAATTTCTCTCTAATAACAAATAGAATAGACATTAGAGAGAAAGTTCTTTGAATTGGCTTTTTTTTTTATTCTTCTAAAATGAATTTGTTAAAAATGTTAAAACCTTTCTGGTATTTTAAATAGAATTAAGACCTTTAAACCTTCAGCCATATCCTTTACACTGAAATAAAAATTTTGATATGCTGAAGAAATGTATTTTATGAGAAAATTGATCAAGACAATTCTTAATAATAGTCTTCATATATTTTGTTCCACAGCAAAGAATATGCAGCAGGTTAGATTCTGGCTTTCTAGAGTATAGAAAAAAAATGGTTCAAATAAAGTTGGGTTCTATAATCAGTGGAGAGGTGTGTGTGTGTGTGTGTGTGTGTGTGTGTGTGTGTGTAAGTAATATAAATATCAATGATAGAATGCATGTACAAAAACACACACACACACATTTCTATATGCACATATCACCATACGTACTACACATGCATACCAACGAAAAGATGCATTAACCTGAAGCAGCCATATTGCAATAATGGCACCTATAAGAAAAATGTACCATGGGAAAAAAAGAAAAAAAAAAAAAGGAATTCAAATTGATTGGCTGTTGTGGAGCCGGGGGAGGGGGGAGAGAGAGAAAAAAAAAAAAAAAAAAGAAAAAGAAAAAAAAGAAAAAGAAAATTATGAAAGAGCTCAAAGCTAGAAAAAGAGCTTTCGGTTAAAAGGAGGATTAATGATTTTTTAATAAAATAAAAGCTGATTACTTTAAAACACACACACACATGTATATATATATATATATATATATATATATATATATATAATGTGTGTGTGTTTTGCATATTATAGAAATGATTAATCTACTAATCAAATTTTCTGTAAAAGATCAGAATAAAGAGAGAGAGAGCGTGACAATACCAGTGGAGAATAAAGAAAATCTTAATTATTGTTCTGCATTAATTCCTAAGTTGTTTCTGAAACTTAGGATCTTCAAGGAGTTTAGAAACAAATGGCAACTTTCTGCATTTATAAACTTTAGAAAATCTAAGAATGTTGAAAATAACATGCGAGCAATAATGAAGTTTTAAAGAAATTAGGGCAAATAATGAGGAAAAAGGAGTTGGAAAATTTGATACTCACATGACAGATTGAAGGCAAGAGGGACAGAGGAAAACAACACATAACCTACTTAATGAGATTGAGTAAATGGATGGCAGAGTAAGGTTTAGAGATAAAGAAAAAGAAAAAAAAAAATTATTAAGAGCTATAAACTGTGGAGACCCATGACTGCCAATGTCCTGAAGGGACAAGGCACATAGAAGATTTTAAAGATTTTTAATGTAATTTTACTATGCTGAAAAATGTTAAAAAATTGCTTTTAACTTAAAACCTTCATGTTACATATACACAGGGTGGTTCAAAGGTCTTGTCACTCCTACATAACTGAAATAGAAAATTATATTATGTATATACGGCAGTCCAATACAGTGTAACCCGGATATAAGAGAAATTTTCTCTGGTCCCAAATTAGAGCCTGTGTTAATGTATATAAAATAGACCAAACCCGGATATAAGAGACGACTTCTCCGGTCCAGACAACTCTCTTATATCCGGGTTACACTGTATTATGTATATATACAAGTCAAATATCATCCATACTCCTGTCTAATGATGGTTAGGATGAAAGTGCAGATAAGTTTTTACTTACTCTTGTACAATTCCCAAGAGGCATTAGAGGCAGAGGATTACAGAGTAAGAGGTAAGGGGACACAGTTTATGTGGATATTTAGGGGAAGATTGTATTGATGAGGGAAGGATCCTCTTGGGTGTTGGTTTCACAAAGTAGCTGTTTTAGTGGAACTTAAATCACACTAATGGAATACAAATGGAATGAGGGTGGTTTGTTATACGAGAGATTCATTTTTTATGGTTTACCAACCCTTTCAAGGTAATTTAAAACCAGGAAACATTTCAATTGCTAGTTCATCCAATCCATAGTAAATTTGCATCCATGTTTTTACATCTCACCATTTTTGGCAAATTTTCAACAAAGACGATTGAAACCAAAAGAAAAAGAATCTAAATGAACTTGATTAGTTTATAGACGCAAAAGATTAAATTTTTTTGTTTTTTCTAAATTTAAAAATTTTCAAGGTCTCATTTGTGTGCATGTGCAGTCACATCAATGTAAACAAATCTAGTCTGATGAAGTCCTAAGGGACGAAACAAATAATGTGAAAACTTTCTCCATCTTGACATACATCTTCCTTCCAAAATTGTTCTTGATATATAAAAAATTATATATGTATATTTGTATTTTCAGTTGTTGCAGAGAATTTATTTAGATTGGCAGTTGTAAGTATATAAAATGATTAAATTTGATAAATTAATGGATATAAAAATAAATATACATTCTGTAATAATACAATCATTCTTGCCTTGGCTATGATGAGTGAAAAATCATGAAATTCTTGATTCAACCTCCATTAAGCATTGTTAAATTATTTCTGATATTATAATACAATAATAATGTTAAAAATATTATTATACAACAATATGTTAAAAAGTTCTTGGTACAATGCCCTTCCTCAAATCTTAACATTTTTTGTTTTATTTTATTTAATTTTAGAAAGGCTTCTTGTTTAAGCCAACTTTTCAGTATTCTTGTGTATGTATTGGGAGTGGGGGGTTATATGCCAGATATGCACTGTTAGAGAGAATTAGAGTGGCGGAAAGCAAGAGATGACATCAGACAAACCTTCACGGGGAGAGGGAACGGGAAAGGAAAAAGATCAGCTGAAACAAATGAACAAGTGTATCCATTTCAGAAATCAATTGCTGGCACTGTTGATGAAGATCCTGGGAGATGCAAGGAAAGCTATTCAACTTCATTAAGCAGTTGATGGTGTGCCAACAAGGCGGTAGTGAAAGTAGGCCACGGTCAGTCAGCTTCTGAAAAAGCAGACTATACAGGCAGAGGAAGTCATGACGATGTGTGTGTGTGTGTGTGTATTATAACAAAATATTACGAGGATTACTTTTTCAGAGTTGGAAATAGAATTGAATTTGCTAAATGACAAGAATTACCAACTAGATTTGTTTTTAGTACCAATTACATAAGGTGAGAAGTATAAAGTTGTTAAATGAATGTATAGCAACCAAAACTGTCCTTGTGTAGAATCTCTAAGAAATATAACAATACAAGATCAAATAATTTATTTGATCTCAATTG